GGTTTTAGAGATACATCCATATTCTAGCATGTATCAGTACTTCATTCCTTTTTATGGCTGAATGATATTTCATCATATGTATATACCACAATTTGTTTATCCATTCTTCCACTGATGGACTTTTAGGCTATGTTCACTTTTTTTGTGAAAAACTTTATTACAAACGTGTACACACATCCTTGTTTGAATACCAGTTTTCCATTATTTTGGGTGCACATCCAAGAGTTGAATTATGGGTCATATGGTATTCTATGTGGGTCATATGGTAACTCTATGATTAACTTTTTGAGGAACCACCAAGCTGTTTTCCACAACAGTTGACCATTTTATATTTCCAGCAATGTACAAGGGTTTCAATTTCTCCATCAACTTGCCAACACTTGTTTTTTTTTATTAGAGCCACCCCAGTGAATGTGAATTGGCACCTCATCATGGTTTTGATATGCAGTTCCCTAAAGACTAAATATGTTTAGTGGCTTTATATGCTTATTGTCCATTTGTATATTTTCTTTGGAGAAAGGTCTACTTAAGTCCTTTGCTCATTTTTAAATTTGGTTGTTTGTCTTTTTGTTGAGTTGTAGGAGTTTTTATATATCCTGGATGCTAAATTCTTATCCAATACGTGATTCGCAAATATTTTCTACCCTTCTGCAGGTTCTCTTTTCATTTTCTGGGTAATGTCCTTTGATGTCCAAAAGGTTTTAATTTTCATAAAGTACAATTTATCTGTTTTGTTTTTTTCTTTTGTTGCTCATGCTTTGGTTGTCAAAGAACCAATATCTAAGAATCTATTGCCAACTCCTAGGTAATGAAGATTTATCCTTATTTGTTCTTCTAAGTGTTTTATGGTTTTAAAACCAAAAATCTGTTTAGATCACTGTTCTGAGTTAATTTTCGTATATGGTTTGTAATAGGAGTACATGTTTATTCTTTTGCATGAGGATATCTAGTCTTCCCAGCACAATCTGTTGAAGAGATTATTCTTTCCTCATCAAATGGTTTTGGCACTATTGTCAAAAATCAATTGGCCACAGATTTGTAAGTTTATTTCTGGATTCTCAATTTCTATTCTATATGTCTTTTCTACTTTACATGTCTCTTCTATTCTATATGTCTGAATAAATGGATCATATAGAAAAGTAGCAAGTTCTGTATGTCTATCCTCATGATAGTACCACAGTTTTGATTACTCTAGCTTTGTAGTAAGTTTTCAAATCGGGAAGTTTGAGTCTCCAACTCTGTTCTTTTTCAAGACTTTTCTATATTTAGGGGTCTTTGCAATTCCATGTATATTTCAGGATTAGAATTCCCATTTCTGCAAAAGACCGCTGAATTTTGATAGGGTTGACAGGCTGAATCTGTAGATCATTTTGGGTAGTGCTGACATGTTAACAATATTAAGTGCTCTTGAACATGGGATATCTTTCCATTTATTTATGTTTAATTTCCTGCATCAACAGATGAATGGATAAACAATGATTCATAGTTTTTAGTGTACAAGTCTTTCATCTTCTTTGTTAAATGTATTCCTAGATACTGTATTCTTTTGGATGTTACTGGAGTAGAACTGTTTTTCTTAATTGCTTTTTCCAATTGTTCATTGCTGCTACATCCTTTGACTTTTAACCTACCAAAGTCTTTGCATATAAAGTGAGTTTCTTAGGATAATAATCTCAAGATCCATCCATCTTGTCACAAATGGCACTATTTCATCTTTTCTTATGCTAAGCGAAATAAGTCACACAGAAAATGTCGAGAACCATGTGACTTCACTGATATGTGGGATATAAAACTGAAAGCAACAAAGGAACAAGACAAATAAAGAAACAAAAACTCATAGACACAGACAACAGTTTAGTGGTTACCAGAGGATAAGGGGGGAGGAGTGTGGTAGATGAGGGTAAAATGAATCAAATATATGGTGATGGAAGGAGAACTGACTCTGGGTGGTGAACACACAATGTGACAGATGATGTATTACAGAATTGTACACTTGAAACCTATGTAACTTTACTAACCAGTCACCCCAATAAGTTTTAATAAAAAATAAACTGAGTTTCTTGTAGATAGGTCTTGATTTTATTCAACCTTTTAATTAATATGTTTAGAATACTTGCATTTAATATAATTACTGATATGGTTGAATTAAAACCTACAATCTTGGGCCGGCCGAGTGGCGCGATGGTTGAGAACTGGCTTGGGACGCCAGAGGGCCCTGGTTCGGATCCCACATATGAGGGCCAGTGACACTGCCCTCTACAGCTGAGATACTGAACAATAGCTCGACTTGGAGCTGGGCTGCCATGAGTCCACCGGCGACGGCGTAGGCTGCAGCCCCTGCTGCAATGGGTTGCCATGGGCTACTGTGTGTAGCCAGCAGACAGCATGAGCAGCCAGCAGCCAGCATTAGCGGCCAGCAGCCGCAGTGAGCGGCCGACTAGAGGCCAGCAACTGATCTGCCTTGCCCGGGAAGAGCGCAATGATGGTGTCAACTTGGGCCAGAGAAGCAACATCCTCCACAACTAGATTGAAGAACAAAATGAAAGCAACTTGTCTGTTCCCCTTCCCCCAGTTCCCCAGTGCTGTTCACATTTCCCAATTCCCCAATAAAAATCTTTAAAAAAACAAACAAACCTACAATCTTGCTAGTTTTCTATTTCATCCATTTATTCATTGTTCCTTTTTAAATTTTCTGCTAAAATGGTTATTTTTAAATGACTCCATTTTACCTCTGATTTTTGCTATTTATTTATCTTTCTTTTCTTTTGAAATATTTTGTTTTACTAGGGATTATAAATATATATCTTGCTGTTCCTTGAAAACCTCAAATTTATTTCTTGATTAAGGCCTTTATACTAAGTGTATGCTCTGTCTGGAATGCTTCTCCCCAGATCTTCAAATGGTTTCCTTCTTCATATAATTCAGTCTTTTGTCAAATTTACTTACTTTCCTCAGGGAGGCTCTTCAAAACTACCTTACCTAAAATAGCACTACCTACCACCTCATTCCTGCTTTATTTTTCTTTACAGCCCTTAATATCACCTAAAATTAGTTTAATATTTCTCAACTAGAACTCCAGTACACTTCAGCAAATAGCAAACCTTATTTATTTTTTGTTTACAATTGTATCCTCAGGAAGTAGGACAATACTTTGCACAATACTTTTCCAATGAATGAATGAGTACACAGCTCCATTATAAGATTGTCACATCAGAGTCATATAGGGCTGAGCAAACTACAAAGAGTTTCCACAAACTAAACCTGATATCTTGACAATAAGTTATAGAATAATCAGATGTTTTCTTTCTCATGACTGTACTTGGCTGCTACTTATATTTGGAGAAAAGAGGGAAAATGAAGTGCTATAAAAAAATCTGCGTGAAAAAAGTAACACTTCAATATCCATTCAATATGTCCTTTGCATTGAAAGAATTTTAACTTAAAAAAAAAAAAAAAGACTTGGGAGCCACAGCTCCCACTCAGGCATGTGATCATGAGGGAAAACAACTGATACTTTACAGTTTGTTACGTTGCCAGTGTTTTTTGGATATTGTGTTCTGAGTATATTTAAGGTAGGCTAGACTAATCTATGATGTTCGGTAGATTAGGTGTTTTAAATGCATTTTTGACCAACAATATTTTCAACGTATGATGGGTTTATGGGACGTAACCCCACTGTTAAGTTGAGGAGCATATGTATTCGCAGTAGGGGGTGATGATGGTGGATAATTATATTGGCAATTCAATAATTCCTGCGGGAATACAGATTTGAAACCCTTATTCTGAGAGTTTTGAAGAATTCATGAGTTATACTGGAAGGCTATAATCAAAACCGTTAGCAATAGATGTTCACTTTCTACCAGTAGTATGCTCACTACTTGCAAAACAACTACTCTGTCAAAATTTCAATGAATAAGATTTTGTTTCCCTGTATGTTAAGCACATTCTGCCCTCTGAAGCAATATCAAAAAGGCTAACCAATTTTCTAAAATGTTAAATCTCAAATACTTGAAAATGACTATACCTATGATGTTCTTATAAAGCCTTCTTTTGTGCAGTCTTCCCTATACTGTCAGACAATAGTCTGTAAATATTTGACATGAGTTTTGGTATTCAAACTAGATACAACACTACAAATTTTCTGCAAGCTAACTTAGAATTGAATTGGATCAATATACTTCTAGAAAGACAATACTTGAGGTTTTTTGGGGGGAGGGGCAGCCATATTATTGGGTTGTCAGAAAAGTCATGACACATTTTTGCAATGAAAAACATAGGAACTTCATAGTTGGTGTAGAGGCCTGACCACCGCACTGTATATCTGAAGCTGATGTTGAATAATAATGTATGTCAACTATAATTATATATACATATAGTCACGGGACATGGAGTAGAGAGTGGGAATGGAGTCATTGGAATTGTAATAGATAAGCATGATATCGGGGGTGGGAGGGCAGTAGATGGGGGAGGGGGGTTGTTACTTTGTGAGGGGTGAAAAGGTTAACTATTGCATTGTTCTGTACACATGAAACTAACAATAAAATTTAAAAAAAAAAAAGAAACATAGGAAAAAAAAGTCATGACTTTTCCGACAACCCAATACATTATTGGCTAATTCCTGATTTCCTGTCAATTAAAATTTCTAGGTCTTCATTATATAAAGCATTACTAAGATACATCTTAGAATTTTAAACTTAAGGGCAAGGTTACAGATTTATTTCTGCGAAAAATTCTTTTATTTTAGTTTCTTATTCTGAATAGATTGTTTAAATATTTTGGAATCCTGATTCATATCTAATATATTAGCTACATTTCTGAAATATTTCATTTATACAATTTTGAAACATACCTCACATTTAAATAATAGATTAAAATACTTGAAGCATAAGTTTAGGAGGAAAGACCTATGACGTCTCTTCACTTCAACATGAATAGCCACTTGATATAGTTAATCACCTTAAAACCACTTAAGTTTACTACTTTCATCTATATTTCTCTACCTTGACTAGAAAGATATGAGAGCATACCAAATAACTTGTAAAACTGCCCTTGTGACAGTTTTTGTCTATTACAGAAACAAAGTTACTTTGTTATGACTTAAACATAGTAACTTGGCTTTTAGTGAGTAAAAGTTATTTTTCTAATTGTTCATAAACCAGATGTTCTAGGGATTCTTAATGAAGCATCAACGTCATTGATCTTCTTTTCAGATATCTAACCATTACTAAATGTAAGCACAATATTTGCCCACCCCAAAGCCTTTAGTATCTCATTTTCTAAAATTCTTTCAAGATAATAATATTTCTATGATCATTCTGCAAATTACTTTAACAAATTTTGTGCAACTCTGCTTTATATGTCTGTTTTACAGTTTATTCCAGTTAAGGTGAATGTTTGCTTAGTGAGAAAAAATTGGAAACAAAATTGAAGCAGGGGTCAGCTTTCTCCTTGTTTTATCTTATCCCCACAATGTGGATCTATCTTGTCCTTAGGAAAAAAGCACAAAGATTCTTTTGTTACACTTAATTTTCAAAAGCTTCAGTTCATTCTGGCCATTTTTATTTCCTCACTTAACTTTTTCATTATAAACTAACATTTTATGTTTTTTATACATATCTACCTAGGTCTCAATATTTGAAAAGCAATGCAAAGGAACTAAAAATTCATGATTCTAATGTATTATAATTATAGCTTATGCTAAATGCAAATATAATACTTATTATCTATCCTTATAACAAAATCACATTGTACTGATAACTCAGTTCAGCTTAATTCCTACCATGACACCCCAATTCTCTTTTTCTATTTTTATACTTTGATATTGACACTTCATACAAAGGCAGAGCAAAATACCTAAGTCTCTATCTTTTTAGTATTCATTACCATTTTCCTATTCATTTTTCTTAACCATCCTGAATAACATAACAGAAAAAAAATTGATGTTATGTTTTTCAATTGCCAACTTTTCCTTTTTCCTTTTAGTTTTCTAATTTTTGTACCCAGATGATGATGCTGTTTCTTAATTTTACTGAATAAAAGTAATATCCACTTTAAAGTCATTCTATTTGCTTCCAGATCCTTACAGAGTTCTAGGTTAAACATAACCTTTTCTGCCTGTCCTACTACAATCCAACGCCTACTTGAAAACAGAAAACTGAAACAATATTTTTTCAAAAATAAACAGTTGACTTTTTAACTCTCATATTCTTGATTGAGATCACAATAGTCTGAATCTGCCAATGAAAAATGATGTCTAAGTTGCAAAAGATACCTGAGGATAGCTGTACAATCAGCAGCTGTTTAGTACCCTAAATTAGTTAACATATTCTTTATAAGTTCATTTAAAAAAATTTTTTAACAACTTCTCTCCTTTTGAAAAAATGTAAGCATATACCTTAACCCATAATTTAATGTCTTCATGTAGGAAGCTAAGGCTATTAGTGTAGCATAAGACAAATCACCAAATTATCAAAGATTTAACCCTCTGCCAGGCACAACTGATCTCACAGATTCATTGCACACAAAGGTGCTGCTATGAAATATGTCTTCACTGTACTAAGTCACAGACACGACTGGCGATAGGTTACGGCAGAGGGGGAAGATACGGAAGCGATGAGTCATGATACTTAGGTTAACTGTTAGATATTTGAAAATTTGTGTGCAATGAATCTGTGAGATCAGTGGTGCCCGACGGAGGGTTAAGTGAGATAATTACATATAGTCTACACTGGATAATATTTTGTTTGCACTATTAACAAAAACTAGCTGAAGTTAAAATTAAAAAATCACCCATGGCAAAATACCTATTATGAAACAGGTTTTTAAAACCTGAAAGGCAGGTCTGACATACATCACTTATTTACTATGACTCAGAACATAATATAAGGAAAAGAAGATATTACCTATTTCTAACAAAACTATGAAGACAGAAAAAAAAATTTTAGAACGAGGAGTCTTTAGGCCACAGTAAGACCATTAAGTATTACAGAACATAAAATTGGTTAATTTAAGAGTTTAATTAAGGTAGAAAACAAAATTATTTATAATAAGAGCACAGAGCTGTGCTTTAGAAAAAAAAAAAAACTAAAGGGAAGGGGATGAGAAAGGTGAGAAAAAGTACTACCAGACTCCTTACCCATTGTTGTTGGTGCTGGAGCTTCCTGATGGTATTTTCAGCCTGCTCCAGTTTAGCACTGGCCTCATCACTCTGCTGTTTGATGGTGGCCAGTTCCCGTTTTATGAGGTAGTTTTCCTCAGCCTCCTGGGCTCTTGTCACTTGTCCCTTAGGACATAATTTTTGTGTGTGTAAAGCAATTCAAGAAAGACTGCCTTTGTGAGGTTTAGTTATTGATTTTGACATATTTTTAAAAAATCACCTCAGAGAACAAACAGCCTAAGTAATTGTTAGCCAGCAGCTCATTGTTGCTCCATCAAATTCTGAGAAGCTAAATAAAAAATTCACCTGACAATCTTAAGAATAATTCTTTCAGTCAATAAAAATTCAATTCATGCAATATTATTGACTTGTACATGCAGCATTAAAATTTCAATGACTAGTAGTTAATTTCGCAGAAGCCACTGATTGCCATTTTGTAATAAATACTTTAAAATAATGTTAGCTTTAGAACGTGCAAAGGGTGTTTATTTTAATAAACCAAGATAATATACTGTTTTAAAATAAGTTTATACCCACATATACCACCCAAAAAGTTATTTCTAAGAAAATGCATGTAAAATTGCATGCATTAAAATATCAATTTAGAACTTTCCTTAGAAGTTAGAGGAAATGCTAAAAAAAAACCCCAAAAAACAAAAAAACTATACCTGTATCAATCTATCTGCCAAGGAAGCACTTTCCTACAAAAGGAAAAATTCGGATAGAAATATAAGAGAAAGAAATAAAATAAAGGTGATAAAATTAGGAATAAGAAGAAACAAAGCATACCCAAATTCCACCTACGTTTCATGTAATTAAGATGGACATGTAGACTTTAAAACTATTTTTATTGAATGTGTTTTAACTCTTAAACCTTCAGAATAATATATCAAAATAAGGATAGACTGAAGAAAATCATGTGCTTCTGGAAGACTAAACACAAATTCCAAGAGGTTTTTCATTATTTGGGAAAAACAAATATTTTCTTAAAGTGTACTTTTAAATTTTTATTTTTAGAGTAAGCCACTTATATGAAAGGGAGAAGGAATTTGAGTAAGCAATTCCACTTGTAAAGTATGACAGCAATTTGTGCAACCCCAACTCCCAAAGATACGAAGCAAGAAAAATATGAAAAATGAAAAATATGACAAATGAAATTAACGAGATCAATATAATAAACTTTAGCAATAACTGAGTAAGCCAACTTTTTGGTTGCAGAATTTAATTGATACATATATATTTACAGAATTCTAAGTTCTAAAGGACACACGTATGCCATCTAAACCAATAAAAAAGGTACTTAGTTTTCTAGAAGCAAAATCCGAACTTAATACTTTCCTGCAGCTCCTGAAATTCCATGAAATAAAAATGCTTTCTCTGTGAAAATGTCTCAGTCCAAAGATAAAAAACCACCTAAGAAGATGTATATTTTACTGTAAACTAAGTATTTAGTGGGAAAAAAGTAAAAAAGTATGTAATTAAAAAAACTTAAAAACAACTAAGCCTCATCATCCTTTTTGCAGAGTCAACAAAAAAAGTAGAATTATCATTAAAGGAACTCGAGTAAGATGAAGGAAATACAGAAACACTATGTTTGACTTAATATAATGTACCTGCAATTATTATACAACAAAAATAGACATGTAATAAGCATTCTTCTGTACCTGTGCAGAGCTATTTAATATGAAACCATTGATACTTTCAAACAAAAGACAAATATGCGAACTATCTATTTTTCATTTATTGCTTTCTTGAATATCAATCTACAGATTTTCATGGTAGATTTTAAGATACTTGGCAATATCATGAGGAGTACTTTTAAACCTACTTTCTCTTGTTTCCAGTATTAAAAACAACACAAAAATCATCAAAAGTTTGTAAATTTAGATGTTTTCCTTATAATGATGTTTTCTTACACTATACTTTTATTACTCAATATACTTATAGCATCAGAAACAAGAGAACAAGACATTATATTAAAGCATAATATAAGAAATCATGTGAAATTTCTACATTTGCCCAGTTATTTATATGAAACAAAGAAGAAGAGGTAGCAAGTGGTAACTCAATAATTCTAAGAATCCAAAGTTTAAGTATAATTCCCCTGTGTTGAAAATCATGGTCAATTTTATGTAAAAAATCATTTTGACTACACTTTAAGCAGTCCTAGGCCTTAAAGAAACCATTGCCACATCTAATATGTGACCAGAAAGCCAGGCAATATTTGAAACTCATCTTTAAAATACTACACAGAATAGATTTTCAATTAGGTTACCTCTAAAGAAAATACATTTTACCTATTATATGTATTAGGTTACCTCTAAAGAAAATACATTTTAGATTATATGTAATAAATTTTAGATATATGTATTATATTACTATAACATTACCCTTAGTTAAAACTTTACGTTCCAGAACTTGGTAGTGATCAATTTTTATTAATGACAATTTATATAGTTAAGTAGTAGACTAGGCAAGCTAAACAGTCAATACCACAACTTTGGAGACATCTGTGCTAGATTTCTTCAGCCTTGATGTGAAATAGACAGAAAAAATATACTGTATATTCAACAGAAACTTGCAGAAGTAATCATTTACTTACTTTTTCTAATGTTTCAATGCGCTGTTTTAAAAGCCTATTTTCTGTGCGTAACCTCTGCAAAAAAAAAAAAAAAGAAAGATACGAACAAAAAAAGGTTTGCAAGCATTCCTGAGATGTAAAAATGATACCTAAATCATAATCCTTTAAAATGTACCATGTTTTATAAATAAGTAAAGAGTCTAAGGAATGGTTAAATTATCATTTGTCAAATTCTTAAAGGCTCAGAGTAAGAAATACATGGTAGGGCCGGCCGAGTGGCTCAGTTGGTTAAGAGATGGCTTAGGAACTCTGAGCAACAGGGCCGCTGGTTTGATTCCCACATGGGCCAGTGACACTACGCCTGAGCTGCGCTGTTGTTGAGCTGCCAACAGGTGGCCCGATGGCTCAGCTGGTGTAACAAGACTGCCTGTTCAATGGTGGGCTACGCCCAACTGCAACGAAGACTGAACTCGGCACCTTGAGCTGAGCTGCCGCCCGGATGGCTCAGGGGATAGGGCATGTGCTCTTAACAAGGCTGCTGGTTTGACTCCCACAGTGGGATGGTGGCTCCGCCCACCTGCAACTAAGATTGAACACAGCACCTTGAGCTTAGAGGCCACAAGCTGCCGAGGGAAAGCCAGATGGCGACTTGCACCCTCCACAACGAAGACTGAAGAACAACAACTTGGCTGATCCCCTTCCCCAATTCCCCAACACTGTTCCCTCTCCCAATTCCCCAATAAAATCTTTAAAAAAAAAAAAGAAAAAGAAATACATGGCAAAGGAAATGACCACATTTATCATTCCAGCTGTGATTGAATTTTAAATATAAGCTACAGTACATACAAAAATACGCCGCCTCCGGCTTTTTTGTTTTTTAAGATTTTATTGGGGAATTGGGGGAGGGGAACAGCATTGGGGAATCAGGGAAGGGGAACAGACAAGTTGCTGTCCTTTTGTTCAGTCTAGTTGTGGAGGACGTTGCTTCACTGGCCCATGTTGGTATTATTATTGCACTCTTCCCGGGTGAGGTAGTCACTCGCCGGTCATTGGACGGCTACTCACAGCAGCTCACGAAAACGCACATCAGCTGCCAGCCAGCCCCACTGCAGCCTATGCTGTCACCAGCGACTCACAGCAGCCCAGCTCCAGGTCGAGCTGTTGTTCACCATCTTAGCTGTAGAGGGCACAGCATCACTGGCCCTCATGTGAGATCAGAAATGGGGTCCTGCTGCTCAGAGCTGGTGTCCCAAGCCAACTCTTAACCAACGCACCACTCAGCGGGCCCACCCCTTTCTTTTCTGTATCTATCATAATGACTCATAATCAATACTGTATTTTCTTATACTTATACGTGGTCTGACAATTAAGTTTGTGAACTCGTTGCAATGATGTGTAATTATTCATTCCGAATTCGTACCAACTGGACAGTTAACCAAGTTTATTATTTGGAAGTGCTCAAAAGGCTGCGTGAAAAATTTAGACGACCTGAACTTTTTGCCAACAATTCACAGATCTTGCATCACTACAATCCATGGGCTCACATAGCACTGTCTGTGAGGGAGATTTTAGCCAGTAAACTAATAACTGTATTGGAACACCCTCCCTCTTCACCTGATCTAGCCCCCTATGACTTCTTTCTTTACCCGAAGATAAAGGGAATATTGAAAGGAAGATATTTTTATGACATTCAGGACATCAAGGGTAATACGATGGCAGCTCTGATGGCCATTTCAGAAAAAGAGTTCCAAAATTGCTTTGAAGGGTGGACTAGGTGCTGGCATTGGTGCATAGCTTCCCAAGGGGAGTACTTTGAAGGTGACCATAGTGATATTCAGCAATGAAGTATGTAGCACTTTTTCTAGGATGAGTTCCCAAACTTAATTGTCTTGGCTTGCATGTCTTAACATCTCCATTAGACAGAAAAAATTCTAACTCATTTATCTCCTACAAAGCCTATCTACATAAACAGTATTCAAATGCCTATCACATGAACAAGTAAGAAATCTGAAAAATGCATACTCATAGGATAAATATCAAATTGTCAGTTTAGAACTAAACCAGCCTCCATTTATGTGTTATGTAATATGCCAAGTTTCAAAATTCCTTACATTCTGAAAATATAGTTTTCATCAAATAAATTGTTCATGAATTGTTCTAAACATAAGAAAATTAAAAGCTCCAATTAGTAGCATTTTCTCATAGTTCAAAAAGTAAAACCCGATTTAAAAAAAATCTTCACCTAAATTGTTCAATGCCCAACTCCTAAAACCCTGCCAAATTACTGCCATTAAATAGTAAAACTAAAACACACATTTAAAAAAATCTCTTTTGCATATTTCACCAATATAATTTCATATTAGTCTCCTATATAAATTATCCCTTCATTTTAGAATCCGCTAAATGTTGTCCCTTCATTTTGCCATCACTCTAATTTCAAAACCACTACATTGTTTTTACTAGTTTGCTTCACAGCTCAATTCAGCCTTCTTCCAACCCTACCTTCCTCTAAATTCCTACTAAAAATGTCTTCCTCAGGAAATTCTATCAGTTCAGTCTAATACCTTGCCAGTAAAGACTGAAATATAGTTTATATAACACATAAAGTCTCAGACAAAGGAAATAAAAGACTCTATGAATTACTGTATCTTATTAAGTAGACCACAAATTAGAACAAATAAATCCTATAATTCAGTAATTCTATTTTTCACAGTTATTACAAATATACTCTGCAAATTAGATTTTCTTGTTTTATTCACTAGAACATATTTAGATGATTGGAAATGTGTGATCTCAGGCTATAAAACAGCATGGTGGTCTATACAAATAAGCAATTATTAAATGCTGTAAAAGTCTAGAAAGCCGAAGAAACAAATGTGATTCTCAAAATGTTCTTAACATATTTCCTCCAAAAAATTATAACATTTTGTTTATCCTAAAAGATTTAGAGAGTTAAGTTCAACCAGACAATTGAGTGAATAGTTAATGTTGCAACAGAAATAATGCTAAAGTAATAAAATTTAGAAAAACACTCACCTGAATTTCCTTTCCCATACCCTTTAAGTCTTCTGAAATTTTGCTATAAATAAAAATCTAAATTGATTTTTTTCTGAAACATCTACTCAAATGTCTTAGTACCATTTTTTAAACAAATCATCAATTCCTCATTTGTGTGATATCCACTTCATCATGAACTGATAACTATAACAGACTTTATTAGTTAGTAAGGATTATTTCAGGGTTGGTTACCTATTACATTTCAAATGTGTCTGTCTTTTTTTGGACTAGTATCATAGTATTTTGGTAAAGCTTTGTAATGCCTTTTTATATTTGGTAGAGCTAATTTCTCCCACTGTTATATTTTTTTATGCTCCCCAAACCTTAACTACTAGTGTACTAAATTAGTTAAGAGACTGAGTTTTGAAATTAGGAAGGTTTAGGTTCAAATCCTCATTCTACAATTAACACCTGTGTATGTCATTCGATGTCTTAGAATCTCCATTTCCTCGTGCAGAAAATTAGAGCAATAATACCTACAATGATAGCAGAAGAATTAAATGAGGTAACATAGTGCTTAATATATACCAAACACAGGTTAGAGATCAGCATTGCTTATATTTTTTAAGTTAGGCAAGAATATTATTTTATTACTTTTGTCTGTTTTTTACAATTATTGTTTAGATTTTTCATTTCTCTGGAATATTGCAAGGAATTAATATTGACAGGATTTGTTAATGTGTATTTTGTGGGGATATTCGTATGTTTACACAACATGTAGTTATTTTGCCTTTACCCTTTATTCATCTTTTTAAAACGCTGTATGCAAAGTTTTTCAGTGTTTATTTCTTAGGTTCTATCCTATTTTTCATTTAGGTTATTCTTAGATATGCTTTTATTTTTATTTTATATGAAACTTATTCGAAGATACTTTTGTAATGTTTATTGCTGATAAATAGAAAAGCTAATGACTAAAATCTATCACTTGACTGATTTCTTACTAATTTTTGAATATCTTTCTTTTTAATCACATTTTCTGGAACTAATTAAGAGTGTTTTCTAAACTTTTAAGTGAAAACCAGAAAGAGAAATACCAATATATATGTACACTTAAAAATAAACATAAAAAAGAGAATTTTTTCGACCGACCAAATTAGAAAAAATGAAACAATGAGAGCAATAATGAAATACCTAATGTTAGCAAAGTATTAGTGAAATGGAAACTCTCTGCCAAGAAGGATATACTTTGTAAATATACTTTAGGAAATTTACTTAGTACATATCAAACATCTTACAAATACTGATATCCTAAAATTCAGTAATTCTACTTTTTATAACTGGCTAAGGAAATTCAAGGTGCCAAAAAGCTTTATATACAAGATGCTAAATATAAGCATATTTTTAATAATGAAAAAAGCAAGAAACAAATATCCTAAAATAGGGAAATCTTGGTTTCAAACAACCCATTCTTCACCTCTCATGTGCTATTCTTTCCAACTTGCTTATTTTATGACATAACCCAAGCTCAACAACCCTTCTTCTCATAGGGACAATCCAGGTTGCCCCTCAAATTTTTCATTGTTCCTCATTCCCTTATGTCCTTGCTTATCTCTTTACAAAGTTTAATTTCCAATCATTATAGTCTTTCCCTTGCTTTTATCCCCCCATCCCCATTTCTTTCTAAGTAGTTAGTATTGATATATACTTGCCTGGTGAAACCACTACTCTGAGTCAACATACTGACAACTCTATGTCTGCACCAATGCTGGTAGAAATAACCAAAGAGAAATATAACCATGGTTCTTATTTAAATTAGTAATCACTAAATTCATTTGGACTCAGTGCATCCTAGCCTTAAGCAGTATTTGCTTAGTCCATTCCTTTTCCCTCTCTTAGATCACTATTTCACAATTAATTCCTCTTTCTTCAAACCAGCAATCCCTAAGCCGGTAACCTTGCTTATGATTTCACTGAAAACACTGAAGCAATCAGGAGACAATTTCACAAACTCACACAACCACATTCTATATTTTACCTCCTTTTTTGCCCATATATTTTGCTTTCTCTCCTGTTATTGTGGATTAACTACTTATGTTAACTCAGGTTAAATTTCCTACCCATGCACTAAATCCCATGGCCTCCTGACTCCAGCAATTATCTTGTCATTCATACGTCATTAATTTTTCCTACTTAATTATCAGCATAAAAACATGTACTCCTTCCTATCTTAAAAAAAGAAAAACAAAACTCAACGTAATTACCTTTTACTCTTTTCTCTTGGCTTTTAGGACACTATGCCTCTCTGGTGTTCTCCTGCTCTGTTGCTTTATCCTCATCTTCCCAGCCTTTATTTTTACCTTTTTTTATTTTTATTATATTTATTGGGGTGACACTGGTTTGTAAAATTATACTAACTATATAATTATAGTTATACCTCTCATACCTCCACATTCAGTCAGCTTTACCTTTCAAATCTATTCAGAATCCAATCACTTATTACTACCCCAGTCCAAGCCACCAGCATCTCAATAGCCTTGTACTTAGTCTCCCTTCTTCTCTGGTTCTTGCGTCCAGCAATCTACTCTTACACAGGAGCCAGGAGGATCCACTAAAAACTGAAGTCACATCTTGTGCTCCTATGCTAAAAACCCCCAGTTGCTTATCAGCGTTAAAGCCAAAGTCTTCACATGGTCAACAACACCCTACATTATCTACAATGTGCAACATCTTACCTCCTATCACTTTCCTCATCCTTCATGTTGTCCCGTCTATAATGGCCTCCTAACTATTCCTCACCAGGCACACTCCCAACCAGATTCTGCCCTCCTTCCAGATATCTATATACCTAGCTCTCTCACTTCCTTCAGGTCTTTATTAAAAAGTAACCTGGTCCGGAGAAAGACAAATGCCATATGATCTCACTTAAATGTGAAATCTAAAGAACTGAATGAAAGAGCAAAGTAAACAGAAATAGTCTCAGAGATATAGAGGAACAACTGATGGCTGCTAGATGGGATGGGGGTGGGGATGAGGGAGAAGGGGAAGGGATTAGACAGCATAAATTGGTAACTTCAATATTACCACAGGGGTATGAAAGACAGTTGGGGGAATAGAATTAATAATGTTGTAAATATTTTGTAGGGTGTCAGATGGTCATGTCTTGTTAGGGAGACCACTTCATGGACAGTGTAGAGGCTTGAAGCTGCACTGTACACCTGAAGCTGAATTTCAATAATATTGTATATCAGCTATAATTTAATATATATACAATATAGTCACGGGTTGTGGCGTATAGTGTGGGGAGTGGACTCAATGGAATCGTAATAGACATGTATGATATGGGGGGGAGTGGAGCGGTGGATTGAGGAAGGGGGGTTGTCACTTTGTGAGGGGTAAAAACTATAACTATTGTATTGTGTTGTACACCTGAAACTAATAAAAGGTATACTTCCCTAAATTTTCAATCCGAACAATCCATTTTGTTTTCCCTTCCCTAAGGTTTTTTTTCCTGTTTAGCCCTTATTGTCGTCTAAAATACTGTACATTTTACTTTTCTGTTTATTGTCTGACTTCTGTACTAAAACGTAAAATCCATGATGGCAGGAATTAGTTTGTTTCATAAACACATCTCAAGTGCCTAGAATAGTACTTGGACATGTAAGTAGGCACTATAAATATCTGTTAAATGAATGAATGACTTATGAAATAAATTATGCTATTGCATGCAACCCCACTGGACATTATTATGCAGCCACTAGTTTTTTAATGAAAAGTTCTGAATGCCACAGTGAAGTGGGCATCCAAATCCTCACATTACCAACATTAGTCTCTCTTGGAAAGCAGCACAGTGTATACACTGAAGAACACTTATGGGCTTTAAAATCACACACACAAATCTGAGTTAAAATCCCTGACTTTCACTATTTTCTAGCAATGTGATCATTAGCATATTATTTGAGCTCTCTGAAGCTTAGTTTCTTCATGAAGAGACGAGAATAAGAAACCTTTCATAATACTATGGTGTGAATAAAAGGAGAAAATAATGCACGATGGTCCTTCATATATTAAGTGTTGAATAAATGTGTCAATACTAATACCTCACATTGACTGCTAAAAATAATTGCTGGATGATTTAGATAATATTTGTCATGATTTCTTTATTTAGGCTAGGCAATGGATGTACAAGTGCTTTTATATTATCTGGTTTTTTTAGCATATCTGAAATATTTCATAATTTTTGAATAAGAAAAAATATTTAATTTCTAACTAAAAACCAGTTAGAATTTCTAACACCTCCCATTTTCAGAGTTTTAGATCTCTATGCCCCGAAGCATAACTTTAAATATAAATACCAGATTATCAGTTCGTATGTTTGTCTTAAATAGAGTGGGGGATAAAGGCTTTTCTTTTTTTCAGATTTGTGCGTTACCCTAATATAAGCTAAAATTTTAATATTTCTTACCTCCACCCCCTCAGGTAGAACACCAATAGATTGTTAGAAGATACTGATAAAGATGTTTCTATTAACAAAAAATTTCGTACAGTAAAATGTAAGATTCTCCATAAGAAAGCATTATTATTAAAACCTCCCTATAACACTTTCAGAGAAGGGGTGGAAAATACTTAAAAGTTACATCTTGATCAGGAAGCTGACTGACAGATACAATTCTCAGAATAAAAGGTCACCAACCCAAAGGTCTTAGAATTTTAATTAAAGTAAGAACAATGGAAACCTTAAATACGTTGTATAACATCAAAGGCTGAATTTTTTTTTACTTCTGTATCAAAACATCAAATAATTAATGATCATACTATGTGCTTATGTAATGAACAGTACAACACTATGTGCCTGAAAGCTTTTGAGAACTAAGGCAAGAAAGTATTAGTTTAACAGAACTCACTCCCTTGTAAAAGGGATGTTGGGGGAAGGGAAGAGAGCGAGTAAGGAAGTGGCAATATGAAATAATACATGGCTAATTAATTGTAAATAAGGTGGTCATCTGATCATGACTGATCCTAACCTATAAACAAGGTGGTCATCTGATTATAACTGAGATGAGTTGCCAGGTCTAAGTAAAAAACCAGATATACTCAAAGTGAAAAACAGTTCAGTCACACAAAAACTGTTTTTTTTTGGCTTTGTGTTTGGGGCGGGCAGGAGGAGTGAAGAAAGAGATAAAATGGGTACAAAAGTAAGAAAGAACTATGTGGAAATAAGATTTTATAAAAAGAACAGACTACCTTTGAGATCAGCATACTTTATTTACCTGATATGTCCCATTACTATTGTTATCTTTCTTTTTTCCCCCAGATTCTTCTCTATAAATAACTTTATGCCATTTGTTTTTACCTACAGCACAGGGAGCTGGCACACAAAAGTATTTTGTAAAGTAACTGAACTATAACTTTCCCCACAAAACAAAATTTGAAAAAAACTGCAAATAAATACTAAAATCTGCTAAAGATCTTTTTGAAAAGGACTTTTGCTATTCCTACATTCATGTGACTTAATTTTAACAGCAACTTCTTCAAGAGCAAGAATTGTTCATAGACCTGAGTTTTTTGTTTTGTTTTGTTTTTCCCAATAACAGCATGGTGAATTGAACAGGACGGCTTCCCCATCCTCAGATTCTTGATTTGCAGTTCTGAATATTCCTGGTATGCGATAACCCATACTCTCTCCCCACTCATCAGGATGACGTACTTTTTACTTTCAGTAGGTTGAAGTGGAGGGTATGATTTAATATTACCCTTACTCATGGTACCTAAAAGAAAAGCAAATGGTAGAGCAGCAGTTGGGTGACAGAGTTGAAAAAAGGAAGGAAAAACATCCATAGGGATCTTTTCTTTCTGTCTGTCTGTCTGTCTGCCTCTCTCTCTTTCTCTCTCTGAAAAATGTAGAAGTATCTATTTCCAATTAATAGGAATAGGTGACAGAAATTGAAATAAACATCCAGAGAAGGGAGACAGAATTGATGAGAGAGAGGTCAGCCACATAGAAAAAGTCTCCTAGGAGACTTCTGAGGAGGACCATGGCAAGGAGTTCTGATAGAACCCATTCACTTGTAAAAAGGACGTATAGGGTTTGAGTAACATAGTGATATTTTGTAGCAAGGCTGAATTAATACATGGCTAATTAACTGTGAATAAGGCGGTCATTTAATATCTTGCCAGGTCCAAATCAAAACTCAGACAGACACACCTAAACAAAGAGTTTAAAAAAAAGTGAAGTCACTCAATAAAAATTGTTCTATATTCTGTTTCTTTGGGGGGGGGGGAGGGGTATGCGGGAATTAAGAGACAAGAAATTGGACCAGCCAGTTAAGAGTTCCCTCACTAACTCACACTCCTACTCATCATCCCCATCCTGAAATATCAGCATAAAAACCAATACAACTTTCCTTAACTCTCAGCTCAAACAATACCAAAGATCCTCAACCTAAGAATTTCTGGCCTTACAGGCAGAACAAAGAAGAATTTTATGGTACATATAGGAATTTATATGTCCTTTAAATTGAAAATCTACCTGTTTCTCTGGAGAGTAATTCAAAAGTATAACATTTGCTTAGTGATGAAAAATTGAATTAGCCAAAGCTTCCTGCATCCCCAAGACAGCCATAATTAGTTCTAGTGCAATGATTTGCTCTGTTTGGTCTACCTTAGACTATACTGCTTAGTTAGTCTCGGCATACTATAATTATCTTCTCTGCAATTTTTAAAAATATGCCTAAATGGTATGATAATTATGTTCTCCATAGAAGTATTTTCTTCTGATGACCCACCAACATATCTTAAAAAGGGAAGAGCTGTACTCTTTTACAGTAGAATGAAAACCACTCTAGTCACCTTATTCTGGTTTTTGAAATTTCTGTTTTTAACTATAATTTGTGGGATGGCAAATAAATGTATCAATAAATAAATACAAACATCACTGCTACATGTACTACAGGTAGGCAACAAATATATTAACCTAGCATAACCTGTTGCCAAATAACTGACTTCAACCAATTTATGTTCAGCACTTTTGAAAGTCCTGAGAAGCTTACTTTAATTTCAACTTGCTCTTCCATTTCTTTAGTTTTTATTGTAGTGTATTCCTTTTCAAGCCTAAGAAGGAAAAAAAATAAAGGTATGTTTTCATTCCAAAGTAGTTATTATGATATAAAATTTAAAACTATATATTAACCCAAAATATAATTTTGTTAGGCTCCCCCAACTTATAACTTGAGATATTTGATATGAGAAAAATCATCTAAATAATTACATGAATTCTTCCAAAAAATTACTTCACTAATAACAAAAATAAGAACCATACAAAAGTAAACTTTAGAAAGTAAAACATATAAGGCACCAAATAGAGAACTGGGTTTACAGATTCTATTCAGTATTCAGCCTTAAATTTACAAAACAGCTACCCATTGTCCCCCCTCAGATTAAAACACATCTGTAGAGTTCAACTGGATGTTAACCAAAAAAAAAAAAAAAAGCTTAATGACAGGGATATGTTGAGAAATGCATCGTTGGGCAATTTCATCATTGTTCTAAAGCTTAGGGGCCATGATGAATAAAACAACAGAAGATTAAATCAAGCACAAGAAAAAAATGATGCAATCAAGAGAAGCAGGGCCAGCCAAGTGGCTCAGTTGGGTTAAGAGCTCACTCAAGAGTTTGAGCTCTGAGCAACAGCTGTTCATTTCCTAGCCTGAGCTGAGCTGCTGCTGAGCTGCCAACAGGTGGCAGGATGGCTCAGCTAAAAAAAACAACAAAAAACAAACAAAAAAAGAAGCAGTAAACACAAGATGTATGAGGCTGCTGCTGGGGTAACATGGCACACTGTTTTACAGCAAACTTTTGTTTAATAAGTAGGAAAGCATGTATTTTAAAATAATGATTAAAAGAATAGTAACATAAAACAGTAACACAGTTTATTATCATTATCAAGTATTATGTACTGTACATACTTGTATATGCCATACTTTATACAACTGGCAATGCAGGTTTGTTCACACCAGCATCACCATAAACACGTGAGTGATGCATTGCACTATGACGTTCCCATGGCTACAACATTACTAGATGACAGGAATTTTTTGGCTCCATTGTAATTTTATGGGACCACCTTTGAATATTGTTGACCGAAAACATCAACATTATATGACGCATGACTGTTCTAAAATTGACTAACAAATTTATAATGGGGGAAAGGGACAACTATTCCTAACCAAACAAACCCAATTAATAAATGTAGAAGAAATGAGGCAAATATAAAAATCACCATTAGAAATCAACAATAGTAACTGCCACAGGCAAGAAAAATCAGTGGATGCTAAAATTAGTGGATAAAAGCGTAAGCATTGTCTCCAAGTATTTCTCCTAAAATACTTAGCAATTACAAAGGGAAAAATAGTAAATTTATAGTACAGAATCCTAGCAGACGACATCTGAGCCAACTGATCATGGTTAACATCACCAGTAATACATATTGACACCATGCACCCCTTTGTAGGATGTACCAAGAAGGGCACCTTGCTTCTGTGGTATCCTTTCCAGTAATGCATACTCTCAATGTAATCAAGAGAAATCATCAAACAAACCCAAATTGAAGGACATTCTACAAAATAACTAATCAGCTACACTTCAGTAGTGAAAGACAAGAAAAGACTGAAGCACTGTCAAGGCTGTAGGAAAATAAGAAATAAAAAACAAATACGATATACTATTTTTGTAACTCTACTATAAGTGTAAAATTATCTTTAAAAATGTATAGAACATACAAAAATTAGTCCCAACAAGTTATTTTTATATCTTGCTCTCAACCAAAAATGTTAATATCAAGTTTAATGACTCCAAATATTAACAGGACCAGATCCCAACTATCATATAGCTGCTTTTAAAAAGTAAATTCTCAGCTGGCCGAGTGGCTCAGTTGGTTAAGAGCTCACTCAAGAGTGCAAGCTCTACAGTTCCAAAGCACACAGCAACTAATTGTGGGAAGCTTACTGCAAGTCTAGAGGGAGGTCGGCGCATGACGCACTGAGCCCTTCCCCCCAGCAGCTGGTGCTGAGTCGCCCAGAATCTCTCTATTGCTGAGCAAGTGGTCTGCAGTGCAGATTACAGCAGGCAGAGAGCCCCGCCTTTTTTTTTCTCTTTTTCCTTTTTTTTCCCCTCTTTCTCTTTTTTTTTTTCTTTTTTCTTTCTAGGTGATCTAATACATCGAAGCAATCAGAGCGACAGCCAGAATGAAGAAACAAAGAAACATGTCCCAAGTAAAAGATCAGAAGAAACCTCAAGAAATGCAACTAAATGAAACAGAGGGTG